CTGCAGGCGCACACCGCTGCCGGGCCATTTGCTGGGAGCCACCGGCGGGGCAGCTCAGACTAGAACTTTAAGCCGATTTAGTCAAAATTGACATCTGTTCATTAAAATTCAGACCACCCGAGCTTTTTTTTTTATATAAACTTTTGATATATGATTGGACGCAAATTCCCTTATTTATATAACCCCTCCTTGGAAACACAAAACTGTTTTGTTTTTATTAATTTGGAGGTGGGTGGGCAGAGTTTCACTTTGTAAGACTGGAATTCGTATCTGTTTGCCTCTGTCTTCCGAGAGCTGGGATTAAAAGCTTGTGCCACCACACCCATCAAGATTTATTTTTGTTGATGTGCATGTGTGTGTATCTGCGTGAGTGTATGCTGCCAAAAAGTGTTGATCTTCTGGAGACGAAGTTTCAGATGGTTTGAACTGCCTGATGGGAGTGTTAGGAGCCAAATTTGGGCCCTCTGGAAAAGCAGCTAGTGCTATTTGTCCGTCTGAAAATAAATGTTTGTCTTACATAATATATCTTGATTACTCTCTCAACCCCCTTCCCAATTCCCCTCCACCTTTCTTCCCATCCCGATCCACTCCCTTTCTGTCGATCATTGGAAAACAGACTTCTGAGGGATAATAAAATTAATAAGATAAAACAAGCCATCAAATCGAAGTTATACAAGAAAAATGGAAGGAAAGGAGACCAAGGGAAGACACAAGAGTCAGTGATCTACTTGTTTGCACACTCAGGAATCTCATAAAAACACTAAACTGGAAGCCAAAATATACATATGCAGAGGACCTGGTGCAGACCCCTGCAGACCCTGTGCATGCTGCCTCAGTCTCTGTGAGTTCATATGAGCTTTGGTCATGTTGATTTAGAGAACCTGTTTTCTTGGTGTCCTCCATCCACTCTGGCTCTTATACTCTTTCTGCCTCCTCCTCTTGGGGGGTTCCCTGAACCCTGTGGGGAGGGATTTGATGGAGATAACCATTTAGAGCTGACTGTTTCCAGGTCTCTCATTCTCTAAATAATGTCTGGCTGTGGGTCTCTGTATGTACTCCCATCAGCTGCAGAAGAAAGCTTCTCTGATGATGGCTGAGCAAGACACTGATCTGTAAGTATAGCAGAATGTCATTGGGGTAATTTTATTGCTACTTTAAAAAGAAAAAAAAGGAACAGTAGTATTTGGTTTTATTCAGGTCCTTGGGCTATCTAGTCTCTGGCTCTTGGTTACTCCAAGCAATATTAGGTATGGGTTCCATTTCATGGAGTGGGCCTTAAGCTTTGTGCCACTATCTTAGGGTTTTTTGTTTTGTTTTGTTTTGTTTTGTTTTGTTTTGCTGTGAAGAGACGTCATGACCATGGCAACTCTTATAAAGAAAACATCTATTTAGGTGGTTTCCAGGTCAGAGGTTCAGTCCATCATCATGGTGGGGAGCATGGGAGCATGTGGGTAGACATGGTGCTGTCTACATCTTAATATGCAGGCCACAGGAAGTTGACTATGACACTCTTTGATATCCTAAGCATAGGAAATGTCATAGCCCACCCCCACAGTGACACATTCTCCAACAAAGCCATACCCCTTAATAGGGCCGCTCTCTTTGAGCCTTGGTGGGGTCAGTTACATTCAGACTACCACAGCCATCATTGCACTAGCATATCTTATAGGCAGAACACCATTGTAGATGAAGGGATTTGTGGCGGGCTTGTTTACATTTCTCTTTTGGTAGCATGCAGAGTACTTTCCTTTATCAAAGACACTAGGACATAGGGGTGAAGGCTCTGTGTAGGCACCAGCTTGTCTTCTTCGTGTTCAATGAGTTGTGTAGATGTTGTCTTCAGCAATGAGGCTTTGCTCTCAGTTTGTGAAGAGCAAGCTATAGTCTTGCCAACAACCTCAGATGTTTGAGGGTTCCCATGGAATCCCTTTGGCCAACAACTCAATTAGATGTATCCCAATTCTAGTACTGGAAGCTTCATTTGGTGATGAGATATCCAGTTGGGACTCTGTCTCCCCCATTATTTGGCCATTTCATCTAGATTGCCTTCATATATTTATATATTTTATGAAGCTTCAACTGTATTAGGTTTTCATACTACCCTTCAAATGGCCCTTAATTTTAGCTGTCTTTCCCCATATTCTCTTATCATTTGGTCTTCTTGTTCCAGCCCTCATCCCTGTCCATTTATTAACTATTCTATTTCCTTCTCCTAATGAGATCTGTCAGTCCTCTCTAGTCCCTTACTTTATGCCTAATCTTAATAGTTCTATGGATTGTAGCTTGGTAATTATTGACTTTACAGCTAATATTCACATATAAGTGGATATATACATATGCAGCAGTAAGTGCTAACTGATGAACTCTCCATTTCAAGCATTTATTAATTATACACCATGGATTTTATTACATTTTCATACATGTATAGTACATATTTATGTGTATTACAACGATAGAAGAGAAGATAGCAACTGAAAGGCTTTGATAATTATGTAAACTAGAAAGTGTGGTAGAAAAAAACTTTAATATAGAAATTATTAAAAAGTAATTAAATTTGGTCAAGTTGAGTTTGTTTTCAAAACACACTTTTATTTCCAGTTCATACACATGTAAAATATTTAAACAAAACATTCTCTTTGAATACTTTCCCCCCATGTGTATCTTTATTCTTTAATGGGGGTTAACTGAAGTGGTGCTGTCATTGTCACTTAATGAGTAGGTGTCAGGGATTGTGGTGCTCAACATTTTGCAGTGCCCAGGATAGCCTCCCCCAGCACAATTCTTCCAGCCCTAAATGTCAGTTTTGCTAAAGATGAAACACACTGTATACTCTTAAGACAGAGCAAGATTTTTTCCTATACTGTATTTTAAAGGATTTTTAACCTTAAATTGTTTTTATTGACACTTTGAATACATTTGTATAATGAATTTTAGTAATTTTATCCCCATTCCCATCCTCATCCTTTGAATGCAACGGTTATGATGTGTTGAGAAGACATCTTTTCCATTTTTAAAAATGTGTATCCTTCATTGTGTATCCCAGGTGAGCCTTGAACTCTCAATTCTCCTACCTCAGCCTCTCATATGCCAAAACATCATGTCCAATTCTAAAATTTTTTTAGATGTTTTTGGTTTTTTTTTAAACATTTTCTCTAGAATTAGTATGTGTTACTGATTTTCAAACAGTGTTTATTTGGTCTATTTTTGAGATGCTAATCTGAAACTCTATTTTTATCATTTATTGATTTCTTAAAGACACACACAATCTGTTTCTGGACTCTCTTATTCTCTGGCTTATTTCTGTTTGCTGGACCAATACTACAACATCTATGTCAAACTTGATACTAATGTTTTTGCTATCTGGTAAAACAAATACCCTCTATGATTATATCATTGGAAGGCCTACTTACCATCTCACATATTCTATTTTTTAGTATTTGTTTGTATGTAGTGTTTGTGTGTGTGTGTGCCCTGGAGTTGGGGTTAAAAGAGGCTATAAGCTGCCTAACGGTCCTGAGGGCCAAACTCTGGTCCTCTGGAAGACCAGGAAGCACTGTTACTACTGAGTACTGAGTCAACTCACCTCTCCATCCCCACGTCCTTATTTTATAGGTGTTTTGGACTAGTTTTGGTTTCTGTTGCAGACTTAATTTTAGAACCAATTTGTCAAAATAGCATTTTAATTAATTAACTTATTTATTTATTTATTTTCAGGCCGGGTTTCTCTTGTGTAGCAGTCCTGGCTGCCCTGGAACTCACTTTGTAGACCAGGTTGGTCTTGAACTGACAGAGATTCACCTACCTCTGTCTCTCAGGTGCTGGGATTAAAGGTGTGCACTGCTACCACCTAGCCAAACTAGTATTTTAATGACTTTATTTTGGTGTAGTTCATACATCATACAATTTGTCACTTATTGTATACAAGTCAATGATTTTTAGTATTATTCACAGACTTATGCCATTCTCACAGTTTAGTTTTAGAGTACTTTTATTACCTCCTCATAAAACCCGAATCTATTAGAAGTCATCCTGCATTCCCAAGTTCCTAATGCCCCATTCCTAGGCCACTACTCATCTCTCTGTCTTGTCTTTTGTGACTAGTTTCTTTTATTTAACATAATGTTTTCAATATCTGTGCCTACTATAGCATATACCAGGACTTTGTTGCTGAGTAAAAGGCCATTCTATGGCATATTTGTTTCTTTAAAAAAAAAACTTTTAATTGCTTGTGTGTGTGTGTGTGTGTGTGTGTGTGTGTGTGTGTTTTGCATGCACATGCTGCAAATTCCAGAAGAGGGTATACCCTGGAGTTGTATTTACAGGCAGTTGTAAACCATCTGATATGGATGCTGGAAATCAAACTTGGGTCATCTAAAAGAGCAACAAGTACACTCAATTATTGAACATCTCTCCGTCCCTAAAGACTGCAGTGACAAAACACCTC